TGAGTTCTGATGTTCTGTGAACATTCAAGGGCAGGGGAGAAAGGTCTGTGTGGCCCCCAGAATCTCACTTAGCTCCTTCACTTTGCAAAAATCTCTCTCTCCTTCTGGATGGGTACAGATGGGAGACCGGAGATCACAGACACATGGTGCCATGGACATTAGAGCTGGGGGCATCTGATGACCATCTAGTTGCATCTTCCCACTTTATAAAGGAGACAGGGTGAGGACCCAGGCCTGCACTCCCATCCTTTTTCTAGGATCACTGAAGAAAGTAGGAGGAGCAGGCTGGGGGGTGGGAGAGAGGGTGCCTGGCACGGCCCATTCTCAGCACAGGGTAGGTCTTCAAGTCATGTTTCTTGACTAAATTAGGAGAGGACAATGAAAAGTTTGCTGAGGGGCCGGGAGATGGCTTAGTGGAATAAGTGCTTCCCTGGCAAGCTCAAGGGCCTGAGTTCAAGCCCCAGTTCCACCAAAAAGAAAAAAAAGAAAGAACGAAAGAAAGAAAAGTTTGCTGAGGTTGGCAGAGCAGTTTGGGCCACGGGAGAGGTAGCCTAGGGAAGGGCGGGAGGGAGCCCTAGGCCGAGGGATGTGAAGCCAGCCTGCAGGTCGGCTGGGGCTCTCACCTGCCTCCCGACTCGGTTGTTGTGGAGCCTCATGCGCGCGTGGATGTCTTTGTGAGGCTCTCGGGAGTCCAGAAAGTCCTTAGAGAAGCGCTCCCCGAAGCCCACGTCGGGGCTGCAGCCGCCCCACTCCCAGGAGTCCTGCAGGCCTGGGCTGGCAGGGGGTAGGGCAGCGTGTTCCGGAACCCCATGGCTCAGGCCCTTCCCGCGCTGAAGCGCGTCCAGCTGCAGGCGATGCAGCTTCCGACGGAAGGCCTCCTCATCCCCGCGCCGGGATGCATCGCAGCCACAGGCCCGCAGTTTGCCTAGGGCGCACGCGTTAGATACCGCGTGCACCACCCCGGCGGCGGCGATGGCATAGGCGAAAGCGCTCTCTCGGAAACCTGTGGTTAGAGACCAAAGACAAGGAGTCTGGAGGGGACTCGCCATCATCTTCTCCTGCCCATCCGGTCCAACTGTATCTTCAAACCAGTGTGGTGGAGGGTCTGGTACAAGGGCAGAGAGCCAAAGAAGGGCAGGAATCACACCAGAAGCCAAGCATTCTGTGAAGCATAGTATGGAGGTCTCCCGCCTAGCCTGTTTCCCTGGGGCTCTCCCCTTCGCGTTTCATTAATGCCACCCTTAGAAAGCTTAGAACTGTGTGTGTGGATCACTGCTTTAGGGCAGAAGGCACTTGGTAAACACATTCTTTTCCAAATCAGGGATTTCATCGATTACCTTTCATGATGTTACCTGTTATTTTAAAATAGACTGCGTAGGGACTGAGGATATAGCTCAACGGCATTGTGCCTGCCTGGTAAGCTGAGGTTCTAAGATTGATTCCTGACTCCAAAATAATAAATAAATAGCCTGCAAAAAGAAGGTAAATTTTAACCTGAAGAATAAAGTATCAGTGATGGAATTCCAGGCCCCAGGGGATGCCAGTGGGCAGGAGGATAAATAAAAGGAGATAGCCTGTTCCTAAGGTGTCTTGACCCAAGATTGCCCTCACCAGCAGGTGTGTACCTACCTTAGGCCTAGCCCACAACCTTCTTCGCTGATGATCCCTGTCCTCATTCACAGGACATAGCTGAAAGTCACTCCAAAATGGCCACCACTCTGCCTGTGATGTCAAGGGCAGCTGAAGACATTTGAGGGATGACCAAGGGACCTCAATGGGCCCAACCTATAGAAGTACTGCCAACCAAGGAGGAAGACTTTCACTGATGCTCAGAAGGCAGAAGACTTCCTGACTCAGCCATTCCCAGGGGCTCAGAGCTGGGCCAGCCTGGCCACTTACTTGTCTATACTGCTTTTCTTCTCTGTGGTCCCACTTGAGCCATCCTCTGGGAGTGCCCTGGACCTGTTAAACTGCGGCAGAGGGTGGCCTACTTGCAGAAGTGGGTTCAGCTCTGAGGCCTGCGGCCTGCTTCTTGCTTATTCTGAATCTGAGCTAGGAGCAGTTTGTCGTAGAGTCTCTGCCCAGCCTCTGGACCCCAGAGAGAAGACAGGCCCTGGGAGAAGCTAGCAGCAAGAATAATCCCCACCCAGGGAGGAGAATCTACCTGTGCCATGGGCCTCATGGGAGAAGCCTAGGACCTGGCAGGAGGCTGATAGCCTCCAGGAAAGCTAGAGATTCAGAAGAAATAAAAAGTCTGGGTCCTTCTACCCCAGCTTCAGAGACCTGGAGGACACACAGAGCCCAGAGAGCCAACCAGGCTGGGACAGACCCTAGCCCATTCTTACCTGATCCTCACTCCTGCTCACAGAGCCTTGTTCTCCTCTTCCTGCCCAGGCAAAGACCAACAGAAAACAGCAACAACAATGTGATGATGATCGCCAGACAAGATGTTTGGCAGATAAGAACTGATCTCTGGAACCAGATTGCCTGTGCTTAAATCTAATCTCAGCTCTTTCAGTTACTAGTAAATAGCTATGTGACATTGGCCAAGTGACTTGATCTCATTTTGTCTCAGTTCCTCACCTTTAAAATAGAGTTATTACTATTGGACTCATTGTTATTCTAAGAATTCAATGAGTTATTAAACATAGTGTTTAGAATAGCATTTTACTCATAGCACATATTACATAAATATTCACTTTTATTGAGAAGTTCTTCCTGCTGCCCGACCTCACTCACTCCTACTGCATTTTCAAGCCATTGTTTTTTTATTTCACCCTGATCAAGGACAGCACCCAAGGATTCATGATCCACTCTAAAATAAATCACTTAGGCTACTGGCCACCCTCAAAGCAGACTCCCTTTGTGTGTTCTCCTTCCAGCTCATAGTACCTCAGCACTCAGTTTTTCTATAAGGGACTCAGCCTTGAGCAGATGTTAGTGGATGGGATTGGGCTGGAGCCTTCAAAGGGATCCCAGAAGTTGGCAAGAGCTGCAGGGGAGCAGAAACTGCTCTGGGATGGTGGGGCCTAAAGGAGGAGGGTGGACCCAAGTCCCTGGGAAGCACACCCTGCATTTATCCCCAGCCTTTTATCTTTGGAACTTTGAGCACTTCTCTTATTGCTGGGGGAGTCATTAGCCTACTCTAGAACACATGGCAATACTCAGGCAGGCCTCTATAGGAGCCCAGACCTCAGAGATCACCCTGCCACAATCACTACCAATCACACACTGTACTATACAAATAGGAAAGCCCAAGGTCATGTGGATTATAGACCCAGACCCACACCCAGCTCTCTCAGCTCCTTAGGACCAGCAATTTCCTGCTGGACGACACTGATCTCAAGGGCACCTAGTTCTCAAGAAAGAAATGGTGTAATAAGTGCTTGCCTGCGAAGTGCAAGGTCCTGAGTTCAATCCCCGGTACAAAAAAAAAAAGAAAGAAAGAAAGAAAGAAAGAAAGAAAGAAAGAAAGAAAGAAATGGTGTAGGGCAGTTCCCAATTCCTATAGCCCTGCTTATACTTTATATGAGGGAAAAGCAAGAGGTTGGTCCTGTCGGGAAAGGGCACACAGGGCTAACCATCATCTTTTAAACTCTGTCATGTTCAAGGGCAGGCCTGGAAGAATCTATATAGATGACATCCACAGCCTGCAGTGAACACCCCTACTCCGTGCAGCTCAAGATGTCTTTCTCTACACCACCCCATGGCCTTTGACAGCTGTCATAGCCACCTGTAGTAGAGGTGATCAAGCAGATCCTGTATAGTCACCCTCTGCTCTATGCATCCAGGCCTCAGAGAAGTCCAGCCTACTGAATCTGCTCCCACCCCCTCTAGCTTTCATGCAGGGGCCCAGTTTCGGTTCTCGCCCCAACTGTCTGGGGCAGACACAGGCACTGTGCCATCTGGCCAGCTGGAGGGGAGGAGGGGTGGAGCCATAGCCAGCTGGGCTGCCCGGAGCAGAAGGGGGGCTCGTTAAGACGCACAATTAGCTGCCCTGCCTTTGATCTGGGACAGGGACTGCCAGCATTTAAGTGGAGTCAGCTGCTGCTACAGGCTGCAGCCAAGGGCCAAGAAGGGGATGGGATAGAGACTTGGAGGGCAGAAGAGTACTGAGGAAAGACTACGTCGAGAAGGGCAGTGGGGAAGTAGGAAGGGCTAACGAAGCTTGAGCACTATCCATTCAAGTCAGAGGAGAGAAGTCTGGTTTCCATCCTTTCATGCAAATAATCTGTGCGTGCTCCTATGGAGAGTAGGGGAAGACAAGAGAAATTGTGTGTATGCGACAATGCTTATGAAGGACACTGAATGGGGCTATGCATTCACACAAGTACCTTACCTCACTCATGTGTGTGTATTGCATTTCTTGGAGTACACTCCCATTGCACCAGCTCACCTCTGGGTACAGAATGGAGTTATACTGGTCTTGCAGTTTGGGAAACATTTGGGTGCAAGCTGTAAAATCAGCTGGCCTGCAAAACTTCAGCTCTACTGCTCACTTATCAACTGGGTGACCTCACTGGCAAGTTACCCAACCTCTCTTAGCTTCATTTGTAAAATAAGGATAACAGGACCTACCACATATGGACAGTTTGAGGACCCTAAAGCATAATAAGGTGGTTTAGAATAATGCACAACATACAGAAAGAGCTTAATACATGTTGGCTAATTTACTGGGTGTCGTTATAATAACAGGACCTTCTGGGATGTGATTGTGCCTCAATTTTCCCATCTGAATGTCACCATGTATTCCAGGCTCCAGAGGCCTGGATGTAAAAACAGTGTAAAAAAGGTAGGTGGGAAAAGAAAGAACCAACCTTTGGAAAGTAGAGACCAGGTACTTAAAACTGCTGGTTTCTCCTGGTTGGAAGCCTGGCTTGCTGTGGGGTCTGCTGCCCTCTTTCCATCTTAAGCTTTGGAGCTTAAGAAGGTCAGCAGCTGAACTGTGTGGGAACTCTCAGGACCTGCTTGTGAATCTCTCACCTCCAAGCCCTGTCTACTCCAGTGCCTGAGATCAGCTCCCAATAGCACCTTACCTCACTCAAACCTTCTTCTTGTAGGAGGAACCTTTTGAGTGAAGGACTGAGGGGTTCTCTATTCTTCCCTAACAGACCTTCTGCCCAATGCCCAGGCACCAACTTACATGGGTCCTCAGTACCAAAAGCTGGGAATATGTGTCCTTTGGCACTAGATCATAGCCACCCTTGGGCTGGTTAAAGCAACCAGCATGGGCTTAGGGCCCCCACAGCCCCCTGCAAGTCCCTATCCCTATCCTCACCCCTCCCCCTTCCCAGGCCTCTAGTTCCCTTCTTTAGCTGAGTAAAGCCTCATTAAATTTCTAGGCTTGTCCACCCCTTGTGGTCAGGCACCCTTCCCCTCCCTCCTTCATCAGATGCATCCTTCCTGCCCAACTCAAGGTGACAGGACAGGACAGTGTACAATGACAACAGCCTTGAGGAAAACCCAAGTTACCATTCTCCTACAACTCCCCACGGAAGTTCCTGAAATTTAAACGTGACAGAACCCACTTAAGGGAATCCCTTTGGCAACCTGGATCAGAAGGAAGTCATTCTCCTGATACTCCAGTTAGGGGGAAATCATGGTCAGTGGACTCCACAGTAGACAATTCATAGCTTGAAAAGAAGGTAGTTAGGGAAAGGAACCAGAATGCCAAGGGCCAGCTGCCACCATAGTGACCTCGTGAGATTTAAATCTCTCATCCAGGGTGAGATGGACCAGGAAATGAACCTGGCGGAGGGCCCATCCAGATGTGCAGTGGGGCAGGAGAGCTGTGGTGGCCAGGCAGAGGTGGGAGGGGGGATAGGCAGAGTGGCAGTTCTCTTTCCCGAAGCTTAGGGTCTCCCTTTTGAAGAGGGAGGGGTAGAAACGAGGGGTTACTACGCGGGAGCCACGGAGGTAGGGCGGTGATCTGAAGAGCAGAGGAGGAGCCCCAGCCAACGCTGGCGGGGCCAGGAGCCGCTGTCCCGCCCCTTCCCGGCTCGAGGCCCGCCCCGCCTGACTAGCCCCGGCAAGTCTCCCCCTCCATCCCTAGCCTCTTCCCCTCCCGTCCCCCCAGCTCACCTCCTGCTTCATTAAACTGCAGGTGAACCCGGGAACGCCTGGCGCCGTGCCAATCCCGCGCGGTTCCACTGCTCCGAACTCTCCCCCAAGTGTCAAAGACCCCAGGACTTTCACCCGGCCGCATGGGGAGACGGATCAAGACGCCCGGGTTTACTTAGTGTAGAGGAACGGGGCGCGGCGGGGAGGGGGGTGCCCAAGGGGACACTGAGGCTGGGGAGAGGACTGCAGAGCTTGCCCTGCCTTGCCTCACCCCAAGCTGCAGGGGCGCGGACCGCGGCGCTCATCTGAGTCCCTGGAGAGCAGAAACTGAAGCAGGGGCGGGGTCTCAGGGCTCGAGGGCAACTTAGAAAGCCAAGGTTGGGATTCAAGTCGCAGCGACCGGAGCCCAAGCCCGGGCCGGGCGAACCAAGAAGGGGCCGAGGCTTGTCACTGGGTGTCAGCAGTGCGGGCGGCCCCAGACAGCTAGAAGACTTGGGCTGGCGGGAGGGAGCGGCGGAGCGCAGGGCAGGGGGTGCCCTAGTGGAGAGCCGTCTGCGCGGCCCGCGGGGATTAGTTCGGGGCTGCAAGCCGCCACACGCGCGGGGCTGGGCTCGGCCCGGGTAGAAACAGCGCCCCGGGCGGGCGCGCTGGGGAGGAGGAGGGAGCGCGCGGGGGCGGGGCAGGCGGCCCGAGGCTGGGCTGGGGGAAGCTGGGTGCCCCCAGACTAGGGGCCCCGGGAACACAAACGTGAGTCCCGGTGAAAAGGGAAGGGTTCAGGCTGAGTTCTTGAAGTTACAGGAGCGTGACCCCCAGAAGCCTCAAGCCCCAAACTGGATTTATCAAGTAGACAAATTATCCACTAGATATATGATTCTCCACTACCAACCAGAAGTGAACAAGTGCCAAGGAGCCACGGCTACTGAGTCCTTAGACTGTCCCACCCAAGCAGCTGAGAGGAGAAGAGACAGATGCCTCCCCCCAGGCCCGGGCCTTGCTTCAAAAAACCCAGGTCTAAGATACCAGGCCTTTGGGATGGTGAGAGAGGAAGCCCTGACTAAACCTCCTGCCAGTTTCTAGCTCAAGTCAGTCTGGGGTAGGTCCTGGGTCACTCCAAGTCCAGAGAAAGGACAAGGAGTGAGCTGCAGTCCTCTGAGCCAAGAGGGGAGCAGGGATTGGCAGGGCTGTTGGGCCTGCTAGGCCAGAGCCACCTCACATAAGCACGCACACACCCAGTGTGCTGTGATTCAGAGAGGTTTTGGGGGCTGTGAGGATGACACAGAGACCAGTGGTGCACCCCACCGGCCAGCAGAGTTCCTGTCCAGATGCAAACATCTACTTGCCCAAGCCCAGACTTCCCTACCTGCACCACTTGGCAGGAACTTCCACCTTCTATTCTTAGCCACATTGGGTACCTTCTCATAGGCTCTCCATGCTAAATCTGGTTTACTAAGTAAAGAGTAAACTGAGGCAAGTGACAGAGTATTTCTTGGGCCCATTGTATACCATGGCAGGAAGTCCAGTTTTCAGGCATGGAATCTGCCACCTTTGCCAGAGCCACATCTGTTCCATTTGTTTGTCTCTCCACCCCCACCCTCATGGATTTTCTAAGACCAGAAAGAGACAGGAGAGCACCATGCTTGGCAGGTGTGAGGATTGGGGGCTGCCAGCCTGAAAATGGATTTTGGATGGCTGGCACAGAGCTTTCATCCCTTGGGGGAGGGGGGTAAAGGTATGATGGGGGAGGAACAGGCCATGGACAACTACCTCTACTGAAGATAGGACTCTCATAGGGGATCTTGTTTCGAGTCTCCAAGCTAGAGCAGTTCCAGCGCTGATCTCGGAACTGGTGTTGACATTCGTGGATGGCGATCTGGATGCCCTGGATGGCTGAGGCAGCCACATCAGGGTGACGCACACACACCTCCATCTGCCGCCGGCTCAGGCCAGGCAATGTCAGGCACACTGTATTAGCATTGAGTACAGGCTCTGGGGGAAGGCGGAGGCCAAGGATATCGTTGGGTGCTGACCTACAGGCATGTGGGAAGGTGAAAAGAGGTAAGCATTTTTTTGGAGGGGGGAAAGGCTATCACAGCCCCATTTAATAATATACACTCGGGCCCAAAGGCCATAATCACCCTCTGCTCCAACTCCTGCTTCTGAAGTCTGGGCTTATCAGCACCCTCCTAAATATTCCCCTTTCCTTGACCTGCTCTCCATTACTCCCTCTGATACAACCCACCCTGCTGCACACACACTCAGGCAAATGTGCAAATGCACACACATCTGTTGTGTCTGTGCACAGATTATTTCATAAGTATGTACCAGGCACAGATGTCTGCACACACAAGCATGTTGTAGACAGTCACAATTGCAGCTACACAGGGACATTGCTGCAAACATTGTGGTGGATACAAGAGATCAAGGAACACTTACACACAAGCACATTTCATCAGGCCTAGGTACAGACAGAGGTACAGATATCAGACAATCAAAGACACATTGATAAGTGTGCTTGTCTTAGCATATGTTGACCTATAAGCTGTCACATTCTCACACACATATCCACAAAGACTGCTGTTTACCAACCCAGCTTGCTGGGCGCACACACAAACAGGATCTTTCCAGCTGTAGTGTCTCACGGACCCCACCTGGGATACCCCCTTCCAGCTCAAAATGCTCATGCTGTGGGGTGACCTCCAAGATGGAACAAGTACTCTTGGGGTGAGGGTTCATTCCTCCAGAGTGGAAGGGACTCAAACTGATGGTTGCCCCCTCCATATACACCTCTTTTCCTAGCACACTAATACACCATTTTTCTCCTGCACACTGCCCTGTCTCCCTCCGGTGCCTATATTCTCTTACCAGTCTAAGCTCCTCCTAGGAGGGAGCTCACAGTCTTTCCTTGGGCACCAGGGGCCTTGTGACCCCCACCCTCCCGCATTCCGGAATCCCGGCCCCAGCAAGAACGCCAGAGGCCCCTGCCCCGGGGGTCCCAGCTCTCCAGGAGGGCGGAGCATGAGGTGCGGGCTCACCTGGGCACAGCGGCAGCCAGCAGCAGTAGGAAGAGCAGGAGCGCCCAGAGCGCGGGCCGCGGCTGGGGCCGGGGTGGGAGCCGCCGCCAGGGGCGAGGGTGGGCGCTGCCCATGGCGCGCTGGCCGTGATGGGACAGTCTTGGGGGGCTCACAGCCCGGTGGGACTGGCGAACCAGGGGCGGCGACGCATGATCGGCAGGGGTCGGGGCTGCTGTGACACAGAACACACAGCTCCGACTCGGGTCAGGGCTCCGGGAGCAGCCGGCGCCCGCCTCCCCGCTCCATGGGGCAGCGCCCCCGGGCACCGCCCTCGGGGGTGGGGTGGGGAGCGGGCGAGCCGGGCACCTCCTGGCACAGGGGTCCTGGGAATTTCCCGAGGCCCCCCGCGACTACTCCTGATGCCTCTTGAGGGTAAGGGAGGCCCGGAGGTGCAGAAGGCTGAGGACTTGAGGCTGCAGTGCTGGGGAGCCCCTCAACCTAGCGCCGCGAGCCTGCGCTTCCGAGGGTGTGCGAGGCGGGCAGGAGGGGGTGGGGGGCTGGCGCTGCCTGTGCCCGGCCCCACAGCCTTCAGAGTGAATGACTGTCCCGCTCGAGGAGCTCTGCCGCCTCCCCCATCCCATGTAGTGTCTTAGGGCTCTACCCCAGGTGACGTCACACGGGGTGGAGGCGTGTAAGTCCCCAGGCCACCGTGTTCAGGACTGGGGTGGGAGCCAGACCGCAGGGGGATGGACGGAGGAGAGATACTAGGGTCTGTGCGCTAGGCCCAGGGTGATGCGTGTGAGCGGGGGCGCGCTGGTTCATGTGAGAAGGTGTGCCTTACCGCCAGGTATGTGTGCCTGGCTGGGATGGGGCCTCTGGGAGTGCCTCACTCTGGCCCAGCACACACCTGTGGGGTCTGGTGGGGAGGAGTTGCCCCTCACTTCCCTCTCCTCCTGCAGGAGGGACTTCCCCGAAGCCTGCCTGGGGAGGCAAATTGTGGAGTCCTGAGAAGGGGTTAGGAAGCCTCTGGCTCTTCCTCTTCTTTGCGGTGGGACCTTAAACAGGTGTCTCCTGCCCCTTTGTGAAATGAAGTTAATGAGACTATCTCATCTGGTCAGTGAGACCATGAAGGCTAAGGTGTCAGGACTCTACCAATGCTTGTTTAAAGACCAACCCCCTTTCATAAGACAATACTGAGGTTCAGATAGGGTCATGACTTACTTTAGGTCACACAGCAAATCAGGGAAAGTAGACATGGAATCCAGTTCTCTCGACTCAGTGAAGCAGCTCTGATCCCAATACTGACGGCTGCTCGCCCACACCCCTCGAGTGGGATGCTCTGTGACTTACCCTGGCTGTGTCTGCCCATGGTTCTCTAGGACCCCTTCCTCCTTTCCCATCTCCTGAGGAACAGTGGCTCCTCCACAATAGCAGGCAGGCAAGGGCCTGAGAACTAGAGGGTTGAGGGGAGCGAGGTTCTAGCTTCCGTTTCTAGTCCTAATCTGAACCCTGATCACAAATACTTTGCCTGCTGTGGCCTCAGCATTCTACTCTGTGAAATGGGCACCAGCCTCCCACTCTATAGAGGCACATCCCTTCCACCCCCCACCCCCATCCCTTCTGTCTGAAGGGAACCTCTCCTGCCTTTGGGACAGAGTTGCTGGAGTCTTGGGCTCAGACACAAAAGTGGCCCATTTCTGGTAATGCCCATCCTTGGGGAATGGAGGAGAGGGGAGGGGCCTTTCTTGCCCCCCCCCAAGCCCCCACATCCCGCTGTCAGGTGGTGGGGGTGGCCAGAGCAACAGCAGGCTGACAGGCTCCCCCTTCTTCCCCCATCTCTGCCAGCAGCCACCGCAGCTGTCAGGAATTAAGGGCTTGAGGCTGCTGGGGGTGGGGGTGGGGCAATGGAGGCGCAGTCTGGCTGGACAGCAGGAAAACAGCCGGGGGCAGGAAGCAGACTGCGTCAGCCAGAGCCTTGTTTGACCCCAGCCGCCCCCTGCCCTCCCTATTCTCCCCCACCACATTGCAGGGACTGGATAGAAACAGCTTGGGACTGGAGTTTGGGAAGTGGGCAGCGACAGGGTAAGACCAGACTCAACACAGGCAGGAGGCAGGAGCCCAGGGTGGAAGAAAGCATCAGCAGGGTGGAAAGTCAAGCTTCCACTGACTGTTGGGGAAATTGAAACCCAGCAAGGCTCAGGAACAGGCCCAATACCACACAGGAGGGCATGCCTAGGCTGCAGATCTGCCTGCTCTCTGTCCAGTGCTCATCCAGTGTTTTCCATCCTGAGTGCATGGTTTGTATCCCCTGGGGTGAGCCATCATGGCAAGTACTGATTCCAGACCCCACCCAGCAGACTCAGGCTTTCCAGGGTCTGAGGGTCTGCATTTCTAATCATGATATCCCAAGTCTCTTGGCAGTGCCCACCTTGGGGAAATGCTGCTGACCTGATTGGGAAGATAATATCTCCTTTGCCCCTGACTTTGGCCTGCCTCTGGTGAGAGAGGATCTCTTTGCTTACCCGCCTCCACTGCTCATGAAATATAGAAGAGCCAGGGAGAGGGGCCTTCTTTTTACCCCAGGAGGCAAGTAAGGATTTCTAAGTCACATGCTCCTCCCTGTGTGGTGCTGGCCTGATGTCCCACATGTCTAAAAGTACCTAAGTCTAGGTCTCATGAGGGAGGCTGTATGGAAGCTCAGGGCCTTGGCATGTACATAAACAAGACCCTGTGACAGTGTGCAGCTGGAACCCCAGCCCTATAGGACCTATACCATGACCAAGCCCCTATCAGCAGCCCCCTGTCCCCACCCTGGCTCTGCCTTGGGCCCTGGCCCTAAGCCCAGCCCCAGCCCCCGCAGCAGCCGCTGCCTGAGACCACAATTACAGGGGCCACTGGAGGTGGGGGAACATGGAGGATGAAAGGTAACTTGGAGAATGGTTCCAGCTGTAGCAGCTCTGCAGGAGGTCAAGGAAAGAGGGCTGAGGGAGGCACCAGGGTGAGAACAGGTGGGACCCTGGAAGCCCTGGCCTAGCCCAGTCCAGTCCCCACTCAGTCTGAGGGTCGGCTAAAAAGTTTATCTTGATGAAGAAGAGAGGAAAGGAGCCCCAGATAGTCAAGGAGGCTCTATGTTCTATTGTCCAGGCCTGGGCAAGGTAAGGGGAGCTAACTTGTTGCTCTGGCTCCCAATATGCTTGGTCACTGTAGGGAAAGGGAGATGTTTCCTGAGCCCTTGGCCTTGGGCACATCCTAGACCTTCACCTGGCCTCCTCACTCATCTGCCTGTGTTCTGCCTTCCCTGCATTCACTTGCCCATCTGGATTGCCTCTGTGCTCACCACCCCCTGCCCAGTTCCACATGTCCCTACCAGTCAGCAGGGGACCTTGATTATGCCTGTGGAAGCAAGGAGCAAGGTGCAGGGCACCTCTGAGTTTTGCTTTTGATCCTCCTCCTGGGCAGCACTGTGAGAACACAGAGCATCTCTAAGCCTAGAGGATAATGGTTCCACTGGTGTCCCTGGGCCATCACTGTCATCCTTCACAGAAAGCCATTCTGAGACTCCCCTGGGACTTGTTCACAGCAGGTGGATCACTGACATGAGACTGACAGCTTGAAGACTATGGTGTATGTTCCTGACATGCTGAGAAGCTATTAGGAACCCCTTGTTTGTGGTGGGGAGACCATGATTCAGGCAAATTAACTCCCCTGACCAAGGTGAGGCTCACAAACTAGGCCTTTTTCTTTGCATCACTGACATCCTCTGAATTCCTTTGCATGTGTGTGGGTGGTGTTGCTTCATGCCACCGTCCCAGTTTTCTCTACCAGCACAATGAGGAACATACTCAGCATTACCCATCCCATCTTACTCCTCCCCAACATACCTGGGCAGAGCAGTAGTATGGATTGGGAGGCTGGCATCTCAGGCCCAAGTGTGGCCAGCCCAGAGGGCCCAGAAGTCTGGAGCCCTAGCAGCCCGCACCAAACTGTCAATAGGTCTCCTTGCTTGTCCCATCCTACTCTGTGCAGCTCTACACTCTGGAAGTTCCTTCCCCCAGATGTCCTGCTTCCGGGTTGTCCCCATAGGGAAGCTGGACTCTGCAGCCCTCTGGTGGACTCTGAGAAAAGTGCAGGACATTAAAAAGCACAAGACAGCACTCCCAGGAAGGCCAAGCTATGAATTCCAACTGTGAACTCCAGACTGAGAGTTCATTTCTCCCTTGTAGGGCCCAAGTGTCAGTTCCACACTCCCCCCTTGGAAAGTTAACAGAGGGAGAGGCTCTGAGTCCAAATTCTGCGTGAGCTTTCCCTGCAGTCCAGGCATTTAATCCTACCCTAATCAAACCCCAGATGCCTAATGCTTCCCAGGGCAGCCTGCCCCATTCCGCCTGCTTAGGGTGGGCTTGAGGGCTGAACCTCACTAGATCCCAGAGAGGATGCAAGGGCATTGTAGAGGAAGGATAATGTACCGGAAGCCATGGTTAGAATCTGTCACATCCAGGATGAAGGTCCTTTCTGTTGCATTTGAAGACCTCTGCTTCACTCCCTGTGCCCTCACTCCCTATGGCCCCAGGAGACCATCAGTCCTCACTCGCTCATATGGTAGTGTATCTCCCTCGACACTGTTATTGATTCTGAGACAAGCAAAGGACTTGGATGAACAAGTCCAGGTCTCCCTAAAACTGATCGAAGTTGGTGCTACTGCTCAGAAGTTTACAAAATAAATCAATCTGGCTTCAATTTCTCTGCCTATATAATGGAGAGATCACCTTATTTTAATGATCCACTGATGTGTAACAAACAACTCAAAGTAATTCCTTCTCAGGATTCTTAGGTCAGACATTTGCCAGATATCATTTGGTGGCTTTGCTCCATATGGTGGACCCAATGACTGACATCATTCACGTGACTGCCTTCTACTGGGTTTGGCTGGGACTGGATATTCTAAAAGGTTTTATTTTCATCATGTCCAGAACCTCAAAGCTTCTCCAGTCGTCTTGTTCTCCCTTTGTGGCTGGCTTGGGCTTCCTTACAGCATAGTGGCCTTAGGATTGGCCGGACTTCTGACTAGAAAGACTGTGCCAGACCTGAAGGCAAAAGAAGTTGCAGCCTCAGAAGTTACATAGCACTGGACTATGGAGATAGCTCAGTGGTCTAAGTGCCTGCCTAGGCCAAGCGTAAGGATCTGGGTTCTATCCCAGGTACCACACGCTGTGGTGACCCCCGCCCCAGGCATGCCCAGCCAGCCACCAAAACTGGGCTTGGTGGCCCACACCTGTAATCCCAGCACTGGGGAGGCTGAAACAGGAGGATCACTACAAGTCCAACTTGCACAGTGAGACCCTGTGCCAAATACATTTTTAAAAAAAGAAGTTACATAGCATTGCTGTCATTCTTTATTGGTCCAAACAGATCACAAAGCCAGCCAGAATTCAACAGGAGGAGAAATAAACTCGACCTCTCAATGGGAGGAGTGGCAAAGAAACTATGGACATTATAATTCACCTCATGATGTCTCAGACCTGTTGGTCAGGAGCTCTTTTTCCCCTAAAACATGAAAAGCACTTAGTGCAGTATTTAATACATAATTAATTATTTAATTTATTAATTTATTTGCAGAACGGGGATTGAACTCAGGCCCTTGTGCTTGCCAGGGAAGCGCTTATTCCACTGAGCCATCTCCCCAGCCCTTAATACATAATTTATATTGAATTCATGTTTAATAAATGGCAGTGACTGTGAGAATGGAGGTTATGGAGCTGGTGCATTGCGGGTATTGAGTAGGCCAATAATGCAAAGAGAAATACCCAACTTTTAGATTAGGCAAAAAGAATTGAAGAATGGAAAGTCCACTCATTAAATCTGAATTTAGCCCCAGGGACTCAAATGTCATATTTCTTTCTCAACTCCTGCCCTAGTCTCCCACCTCCCACACCTATTGTTTCTGCTTATCTTTGCCGCTCTTTGAATACTTGTCTTCTTTCTCTCCTCCTGCACACATTCTCTATGGATAACTCTGTGCTTACAAAGTGATACAATACATTGTGGTCTCCTCATTGCATACGTAGAGAAACTGAAGCCAAGCTGGTCTATCTTGTAAAATTCTAAGCAATAGCACCGGAATCCAAGTGTATGCACTGCCCCACATACCTTGATTGGCAGTCATTTCCCACTGGAGGATTCAGACTGGAAGCAGATGGGGGCCCTGAATCCCCACAATTGGACTATGGGTAAAGATGGGGCAGCTGGAGAACCTAGAACAAGCTTGGTGTCTCTTCATCCACACCATCAACTTCCAGAGAGCAAAGAGAAGATCATGTGGATGAGTGTAAGACAAACCTTGGGATACCCTTGCTTCTTCTCCAGGTGTGACTAGAGCTGCTGGCCAGGCAATCTTTTTAGTACTTGGGACCAGGGAGATAGCTCAGCAGCAGTGCCTGCTTGGCAAGCACCAGGTCCTGAGTTTAATTCCTGGTACCAAAAAAAATATTGTTTTTTTAAATACAGTATCTTTTCAGTGCTAAGGACTGGGGTGGGTCTGGGTGGAGTAAAGTTAGTTTCGGTGGTAACAAAAGCTGGTGTTGCTAATCACTTAGTTTCATCACATTCATAAAGTGGTTTAATCCCATGAGCATGGACAGGGCAAAAGTCTATCCCTTGAATTCCTCAGAGATCACAAAAACAAACACGATGCCCTAAAAATTAAAGGGAGAGCTGGCCCAAGAGCTGAGCACGTCACCAAAGGTGTCTGGCCTTTTTACTGAGTCCTTTCCCTTGTGTGTAAAGATCAACTGCTGATTCTTCCCAGATTCAGAGCCTCCACGCAGGACAAGAATGAACACAGGAGTGTTGAGGGCCTGCGAGTTAGCTCTGCGAGCTAAGCGCCTGTTTTGGCAACTGAAGACACTAGGGTCACGCATGCTGCTCCGGCCCCGCCCCTAGGGCGCGCTGATCCAGTGACCAAGTAAGTCCCAGCACGGTGGTGCGTGGTGCGTGCCTGTAATCCCAGAGCTGGGGAGGCTGAAAACAGGAGAATCACTATGAGTCCAGCTGTGTAGTGAGACCCTGTACCAAAATACACAAACTAAAAAACAAAACAAGACAAAAGAACAGAAGAGTGTCAAGAGAAAATGTCCAATCTGGTGGCTTAGGGGAGACAGGGACTCAGGGTGATATATCTCTGAGGGTTGAGCTCTATGAAAACCATTTCTTTTCGCGCAGCAGCCCGCCAGAGATCAGTCCTCCTCCCACGCTGTGGGTCCAGTACTATTGGTTTAAATATCTTTATTGATAAGAGCCTCACCCACGCATCCCATGACCAGCAGCTCTGAAGAGTCTGATCTCCAGAGTCCTAGAGGCAGGAGTCTGTTTCCAACCATGGAGCCAAAAGGAAAGATGGCCTGTATAATTGCCTCCAGAAATTCTCAGAGCGCATTTCCAGGGGCCTTCTGGCGCCCTGAACCTTCATAAGTCTGGCGTAAACCCCAAGTCCCTGGCCTCAGAGGCCTAACAGATGGACTTTGGCAGAGAGCTAGTGGGGCGCTCCGTGCAGCGCCCCCTGCTGGAGCCCAAGGCTTCCCACCGGTGCGGAGAGGGGGCTCTACACATTTTGGAAAGGCTGTGAATCAGAGGCAGAGGCTGAGCTCCTTGCGCACGCGGCAGCGGTGACACTGCACTACGCAGCACCAGTGGAATCGGCACAGGCAGTTCTCCTCGAGCTGCACGCTTTCCTGGCGGTGCCCACGGCCGCAACACAACAGGTCACAACCACTGAGGTCTGGGGCGCTGCTATTACAGGCGCGGCCCCGAGTGCCCGGAGAGCCAGTGCGCCTGTTGGGAGCGCAGAAGTCCGGCGAGTCGGCGGCGTAGAGGAGGTCGGCACGGCCTGGCGGCTTGAGCGTGCGGACAGCTGGCAGCAGGGCTTTGCCGTCGTTGGTGCCCATGACGCGTGAGGCACCGTGGAAGCGCTCCAGCAGCCGCGCGCCCACCTCGCGGAACGGGGGCAGCTTCTGCCAGCAGGTGCGCAGTGCGCAGGATCCGGACAGACCGTGGCACTTGCACTCGGTGCGTGTGTGGCTCCGCACGGCCTGAGGGGAGCAAGGCGCAAGTGAATGGGGACAGTTGGGGGTGGGTTGGTGCAGGAAGGGAAAACCTACCGGATGGACAGAAAATAAGATGGGGAAGCAGCGTGAATGGAACAAAGGAAAAAGATAAAAGGGGCAGGGGGAATGTAAAATGAGGAGGAAAAAAAAATCAAAGAACAGCCTGGAGAGGAGAAAGAATGGCAATGGTGATAAAGTAGACAATGGGAGAATAGTGCCTAGGGGTGCAAGGCAAGATGGACAGCAGGAGTGACATTCACCCTGGAGGGAGAGAGATGGCAGCTGTCTCAGCCTCCTCATTCCTGCCTCTCATGGCCCCAGGCTGGCTGAGCAGACACAGCCAGCCTCCTAAACGTCTGTCTCCTCCACTCCTCCCCAAACCTCTCAACAGGTATGTGGGCCTGTCCTGACATTCCTCTCCCAGCCCCCTCCTCCTGGTCTGCCCAAGGCCTCAGCCCAACCCTGAAGGACATAGATGTGTGTGACAGCATCCCTAGAGCATTTTAGAACTAAGGCATGCGGTGCAGGAAGAAGGGCCCACGGAAAGGCACCACTGAGAGCATACCCAGGAGTCTTCTCTTAATTTATTTGCTGTTGTGTCTGAAGCTGGGATGGGAGATTGGCAACCTTACTAGAGATGTATGGGTCAGTTGACCCAGGAAAACCATCTCTAGACTCAGAGGTCAGTGGCCAAGTCCACTGTAGGTTTGTATGACCATCCCTGACTCCCTAACTCTCTCCCATTCCCCTCATAGAAGGCATCTTCTCATTGTAGATGGAATGGGGTGAGTTGTAGGGCCCTGGGAAGAGGAGGCCTGGTCTAGGGCTGCTGCATAGCTGGGCGACAAGGGTCTGGAATCAGCAGCAGCTTTCCAGGCCTCCACCTGACCCCCTCCTACCTCCACCATGATAGGCTCTAGGTTCTTTTCCCAGTCTCTAGTCTAGCCCCTTTCCAGGTCTGCCTTGCTTCCTCCTGGCTTCCCTACTTTTCTTAACCCAGATTCTAGCATTTCTTTCTTCCCCCATCTCTGTCTCCTTCCTCTACCTCTGCCCTGGCATCCAGATGTGCGACCACCACCAAACTCTGTCTACCTGTTGTGACAGAGGCAGTCATCTCTCCAAACTTTGGGTCCCTAAGCGTTCTAAGTTGTATTCCCTGCACCTCCCCTCTGTCCTCTATAGCACTGCGCATGGGCCCCCCAGCCTCCACCCACTTCTGGGCCCACCTACCTCCCCTCCCAGAGTTCCCAAGTGCCCCCTTTCCCTGCTCACTTTCACACCCAACACACACTACACCTGTATTCCCTCAGTGCCCACACTCCACAACATGTGGCCAGTCTGGTGCACCATACACTCCCCCTCACTCATACCCCACCAGTCCACACGCACCAGCCGACCAGCCTCGTTGTTGTGTAGTTGCACCAGGGCTCGGATGTCTCCGCGACCACGCTTGTGCCGCGCATCCATAAACAGCCTGGACTTTTCGTCCCCGAAGTCCACGTCATCGCCGCAGCCTCCCCACTCCCAGGCAGCGGTGGCATCTGAGGAACTCATGGGCCCAGGAGGCCCAGGGGTACCAGGCAGGCCGGGGGGCCGAGGCTGTGCCCGCCCTCGGGGTGCCTGACAGCCACACTGCAACAGCTCACCCATGGAACAGGCCTGTGTGACCGCGTGGCTGGCACCGGCAGCAGTGATTGCAAACACGAAGGCCGTCTCCCGAATGTCTGCGGATGCAGGAAGGGGCAATCAGCACAAAGATTGTCTGGGGCTTGGGTGTTCCTTGGGCCAGCAGGGGTGCTTCGGAGAATGCAAGCTGGCAATCCCCTAAAAGACAGTGTACAGGACCCTCTCCCCCACCCCCACCCCCACCGCTATGCTCCCACAAGCTCTGATGTGGTCCAGGGTGCCGTAGATGGCCAGGAGGGACGAGGCACCCTCCCCAATCCCTCTCCCCTCTCCACTGTGGGGATGGAGCTCCTCTCGCCCACACTGACCCTGCTGCAGGATGCGCCCAAAAGCCTTGCTGTGGCTGGAGCAGTTCCAGCGGCGGAAGCGGAACTGGAACTGGCACTCACGAACCCCAAGCCGGGCGCCCCGGGCTAGCTCTGCCACCACTTCTGGCTCTGCCTGGCACAACTCAGCCTGCCGCCCTGCCAGCCGCCGTGCTTTCCTGCAGATGCTGGTAGGGTCCATGACCAAGGGGCTGCCCACGGCCCTAGGGAACAGAGAACAGCAAGTCAGTGGTGTTACTCTCAGAAGTATGAGACAGCATAGAGTAGAGAAGGAATCCATTCAGCCTCCCTCAGTTGTAGCCAGCCCCTTCCTCAGCTGTTAACATCTCTACCCATCCCACTCCCAAATGAGACTGGGATTGTCCCATCTGATTCTCTTACTATTTTATGTTTGTGTGCCCTTTAAGATAGACTCTAGACCAAAAATTGCTAGAGTAGAGTCAGCTTTATCCTTCTGTATACATCTTTTACTAAGAAATCATCACAGGACAATTTACTAATAGAGTGGGATGAATCCAGCACAGCTAGATTAATACTCAACCGAGCAACATCCCCAGTCCTTTATAGGATCTTGGCTCAAGCTGTAGGAAGCTGGCACAGGGCTATAATTCAACAAGGCAGAGCTTAAGAGGGAGAGAAGGAAGAAATTAGCAGAAGAGAGAATAAGAAAGTTGTCAAAGCCAAGAAGTATAGTATGTGTTACAGAAAAACTAAGGAGAGTAGGCAGTGTCAGGGGAAGATCTGGTCTTAGTGGACGACAGCTGGGTGTGCTGGGCAGTCCTAATGAAAGGTAAGGGCTGTCTCAGGGCCACAGAAAAGCCACAAGATAGCAGAATGTCTAGGGACAGAGCCTCTAAGGAAAACCATACTCTTTCTTTAACCAAGTTTATGTAGAATGGGAGAGTTTAGGCCTTCCCACCTTGATAGCCTGTGTGACATCTCATCCCATCCTATACCAACTCAGATGGGCAGCAGAAGGACACAGCTGGCCATTGAGCCTCTGGAGTGCTGTTAGGGAGTAAGTGACACTGATCCTGCTCCTTCCCTCAGGTCCAAGCCTTTCCTAGGGCAGGGTGGCAGCAACCCAAGGCCTGTGCTCTGGGGTGACAACTTTGAGCAGTGGGGACCAGGAAGGTGAATTATTGTGTGAGGACCTCATGGGAAGTCCCCTACATGCTTAGAAATCCCTTTGGCCCTGCCTTCATTCCACCTGAGCAGAAAGCTGCCTTTAGTTTCCACAGGTTGTCAGCCAGGAATTCATAACTGGGGGGAAGCCGCTTTAATCAAATGGCTCTGATTTGAACACTCAGTTGGGATTCCTGTCTTGGAGGAGTGCAAGGGCAGAGCACTTGCTTGCTAGGGTAATCTGAGACCACCCAGCAGAGGGCAGAGAAAAACCTAAACTTGGGGAGGGGGTAGGACCTGGGGAAAGAAATGCAGAGGAAGTGGCTGCAGATGGTGTGAAAGGTCAGGGTGGACTGCTTTTCACTTTTGCTTTTGTGCATATTCATCCCGCTGTCCCCATTTGCTCCACAGCAAGCAAGCAAGCATAGGCTGCCCAGGCATGTTCTGAGATGTAATAGTCTTAAATAGCAGCAAGAGGAATTTAGGTCTTAAGGGAGAACTCTCAACACTCAGGTGCTTGGAGAGGTATTTGCAAGGAGAGGTAGAAATTCATTCCTTTAAAGGCCACACACACACACACACACACACACAGAGAGAGAGAGAGAGAGAGAGAGAGAGAGATCAGATCAGGTTGCTGTCTTCATCCTTATCTGCAGTGTCCAAGAATCAGACATCTTTCTTCAGTGGAGAGATTCACACACCAGAGCTTCCTCCTATTGAGCCAAGGACTCACCCAGCGCCAGTCCCAACACTTGCACAACCCTAGAGAAGTGACAGATTAAAGAGTGGGCCAAAGCTAGGGCAGCCCAAACTCATTCCAGTGATCTTAGAGTTGATCTGTCCCTGCCTGTCCATCCATTTACCTGTGCCTCGTCCATCTGCCTATGCCACTCCACAATATAAAGGATTTGAGTCAGACAGGGTGGTATATACCTGTGTTCTCAGCACTGGAGAAGCTGAGGCAGGAGGATCACAAATTTGAACCTAGCCTGGACAAATTTAGCAACTTAGTGAGACCCTGTCTCAAAATAAAAATTAAAAAAAACAAACTGGAAAGGTAGTTTAGTGGAAAGGTCCTAAGGTTCAATCCTCAGGACCACAGTGGGGGCACTATTTGAATCTAGATATGGTGGCACATGGCTATAAGCCTAACAATCAGGAGGCTGAGGCAGAAGGATCATGAATTGTCAGGCCAGTCCAAGTTGTACAGCATAACCCTATCTTTTAAAGGATGGGAGCTGGGGCTGGTCATATAGTTCATTGGCATAAGTTCCTGCCTGGCAAGCGTAAGGTCCTGAGTTCGATCCCTGGTACTGAGAAAAGCCGGGGGGAGGGGTGATGAATGATGAGCAGCCTCTAGCCTGGTATACAGGGTTGGTAGATAAGGCTATGAGCTCCTCTGAAGTTAGGCTGTCTTATATTTCTTTATCTCCCCTGGCAGATTTTTGGGTACTTAATTCATGCCCTCCCAATGTCTACTGTGCAAATTTTTCATATTATAAATTGTACATTATACATGAATAACAAGTGATTTTGAATACCGTGATAAACATCATCTAATACATGTTTCTAAATGAATGAATGAGCTATCTAAGAAGAAGGTACTCCCTTGAACCCAAGCCCCTGTCCACATACTACTTCATCACCCTCAGTTTGCTTCCTCAAACATTATCTTTGCCCCTGGGATCTGGAGGCAGACGGGGGGGGGGGGGTCTGCTGCTGTCCCACTCTCCTGCTGCCCCAGAGGCCTCTGCAAACTCATCTTCCCATCCCCAGGCCTCTGTTAAGTTCCTAGCCTGCCCCCACCCCTGCCCTCTGAGAACTCCTTATTCTCCCAAGGTTGGCTGCTTTATCTTCCCAAGGTCAACCTCCCCCTTGTCACTCACCTCTCCCCCCTCCTCCATGAGGAAAGCAGGAAGGATTAAGGACTGATGAGCAAATCCCTCTTGACCTTGTCTGCTTCCCAGGCTAGAGATAGGAGAAGGCTTCTGGGGAGTGGGGCCCTTTCGGGGCCTGGGGCTGGCCCTTCACAGGGTTGAGGGGCTGCCCCAGCCAGGACCCGGTCTGGATCTGGCTCCCAGCCTGGCTGGCTTCCTGGGAACTAGAGTTGTTTACGAGCTGATCAGGAGGCGGGATGGGCAGCAGTAGCAGCTAGAATCCCAGGGGACTAGTTGCCTGCCCTGCTGTCCTTGCTCCCATTCTAAATACACAGGAGATGAGACTCCAGAAGGAGCACCACAGGGAGCACTGGGTAAAACCCCCAGCCATGCTTCTGTGCCCTGGTTTCTATCAGCTGTAGGAAGGCTGAGCCACTCTGGACAAATTAGTTACCTCTTTGGGCTTCAGATAAATGAAGAGTTAACACAAGAGGCCCACACCCACAACTTTAACATTTGACTCTGCATCTAGAACCAACTCCCAAGTGTCTTCTCCCTTTACCTTCCTTCTGTTTCCTTTGGGAACACACTCTGCTTTTTTGGGAGCCTCTGGGACAGCACTGACCTGGGGCCGGCACATGGAAGATATGTTCCTTTGGGGGAATTTGCATGTCTTAGGGTCTGTAGTGCAGTGGTGGTATGTGCAGTTATAATCAAACTGTTCATGAGCATAGCAAGAAAATGAGGCAAAAGACTCAGTATGCAGACAAGAAGGGACAAGCCTATAGCTGGTCATTGTAACTGGCTTGGTCTACACAGAGAGCCCCATCCAAGGACTGTGGTTGGCAGGCTCAGTAGCAGCTCAGTGAAGTGGGATCTAGAGCCAGCTCATTCCTACAGCATCTGCTGACCTCAGCCTCAGAAGTCCCAGGATCCTGGCCCAACCTACCTTGTCACCTCTGAATCAGAGGGCCAAAGGTAATGCCATGGCCATGTGGATAACCCTACCCACCTCACCTTGTTACAGATGAGTGATAGGAGAAGAAATGAGATAGACCCCAGCCATGGGGTTTTGACCTCATGAAAGAAAAATTATATGATTTTTAAAAATATAAAGGAGACAAAGGGCTGTCTGACATGTGGGAAGGTCTTGGGTGGCCCCTTCCTCCCAGCAGGGTTCTGCAACCTTGCTGGAACACAGCACTCAACTCCTAGACTCAGAGTCACCTCTTCTTCATCCCTAAATCATCATAATCTTTGCTAGGAACTCTCCAAGCTCTTCTCTAATCCCACTGACCCTAAAGAGCCCCAAGACCCCTCTCCAGTATCACCCAAATGTCACTCATTTGGGGGCCATTGTTATTCTGCCAGCATATTTATTCAGCTTATCTCCTCAATTAGGAAGAAAATTCATTAAAGGTAAAAATTTCACACTTAGGGGCTGGAGAGATAGCTCAGCAGTCTAAGTGCCTGCCTGGCAAGCCTAAGGATCCAAGTTTGATCCCTGGTACCACATGCCATGCCAGTTCCAGAACTCTGGGGGTGCTGTGCTGGCCACCGAGACTGAGCATGGTGGTGCATGTCTATAATCCCAGCACTGGAGAGGCTGAGACAGGAAGGTCACTATGAGTCCGAGCTGGGTAGCAAGACCCTATACCAAATAAATAAATAAATAAATAAATAAATAATTTTTTAAAATTCACAGTTGGGCATGATGTCATCAGAGCCCACTCAGGGGTTTTAGGACCCACCATGAGGGTGGTCTTGGTGCTGCCCTTTGCTTGCTGCACAATGTTGAGTCCCCAGCATGTGAATTTGGCACTTAGAATTTGTTGAATGTATGGTGAGATTTCATCTTCTGAGCCTCTGTTTCCTCAACTGGAAAATGGGAATGATTATTAATACCAACTATCCTCCCTAGGAAGGACCTGTCCAAGAGCTTCTGCTCTTCTCATTCCCACCCCATCCAGCTATGGGACCTGCACAGGACCAGGGCACAGGCAGCACCTGGGGATTCTTCCTGAGAACACTGTTTTTTAAAAAATCTATTTATTTATTTGTGTGTGTGTGTGTGTGTGTGTGTGGCCAGCTCACCCCACCAGGGGGCAGGGCTGGCTGGCATGTGGTGCTGGGGGATTGAACCGCGGTCCCTGTGCTTTGCTAAGCTTGTTCTAAGTAGGTGCTTTAGACCACTGAGCCATCTCACCAGCCCAAACATTTTTTTTTTTTTTTCAGAACTGGGGATTGAACTCAGGCCCTTGTGCTTGCCAGGGAAGCTCTTATTCCACTGAGCCATCTCCCCGTCCCTGAAAACACTGTTTTGTCCCACTCTCTGCCCTTACTTCTCAGCCTAGATCCCTGCTGCCTAGACCATAAGCCTTGTCCAGGGACCTGAAGCACCTCAAGAACCACTCCCTGTCCAAAGCGGACACTCCTGGTTGGTCACTGAGAGCAGGCTGTCTCAGACCCTGTGGGTAACCAGCTTCCTCTGTAGGGTCTCTCAGGAGGCCTTTCTCTATTTCCCCACTCCACCCCCAAGGTTCCTATACTGACCCCACCTCCCATGAGCCAGCAGAGGGAGCTCTGGGCCCTGGGGCTGTGGGTGGGGGCTGTAAGGGGGTGGGAGAGGAGCGTGGTGGAGAGGGGGTAGAAAAATGTTGCCTGACGGCTGCTGAGGCTGCCGGGCCTGTGCCCGCCCGCCTGTCCTGTCCTGCTCTGTCTAACTCAGTAATTACTGCTCCCCTTCCCCCCAGTCTCCCCCACCCCAACCACCACATCAAAGCCTGTGATGCCCCAGCTCCCTTAACCCCTGCCTCCCCACTGCCCACCAGCTTCCCCAACTTTGCTCCTCCCCCACTGGGCCTAATGTGGTTTCCTCTGTTCTTCCTCATTGCTACCTCTGCACCATTCTGAGGAGAGTCAGGGGCTTTTCCTTCCTGATGGCCCTCACTATACAAAAGGGCTTCTTATTGGCCAGGGCTGCAAAGCAGTGGGACACCTGGAGGAGAGGCTGTCAGGGAGAGCACCCATCTGAGAGTAGGGTGAGGGAGCACAAAGAGCCTCTCTGGAGGGCTCCGACCCCTCCTGCACCCATGGGTAAGGAGATGAGCAAGATGTATTCTCAGCCTTGGCTCTTAGCTACCAGCATTGGGCGATGTACCTCCTGTCACTGATCTTCCACTCTCACCATTTGAAAATGTTAGACCAGATGATCTTGCAGTCCTTTCTAGATCAAATTCTAGATTACACAGAGGACTCAGAGCTGGTGGAACCAGCCCAAGTAGCTTCCTAGAGTCATTCTTTTCCCTCAACTATGCCTCAGGCAATTTTCAGCCTGGACAGGAAAGAGGTCCCAGGCTAGGGGGCGCTCTCACTGGTCTACAAAGGCAGCATCTGGTTCCCCTATTGCTTCTGGCTTGGCCTGCCTCAGCCTGGCTGCCTGCCTTGTCCTACACTACCCTACCTCAGCTCCTCCACAGCTCCACTCCCCCACCAAAGTCCTCATTCTGGAATCCCCCTCATTAGGCCCTGGTGATTGAACCTTCTACTGACCTTCCCCCACCAACTTGTGCCTTCCGATGAGAACTGGCCAGGAGAGGGCTGCACCCCCCAGGAAATGTCATAGTGCCAGGACTCTGGTGGGCCCAGGGCATGCTCTGGCCAAGATCGAGCCAGCCTCCCTTTGCCCCTGCCCTTTTCTGCTCACAGCCCCATTGTCTCCCTTGGGGGAAGCTGCCAAGGCGGGAGGCCTGGAGGGGGGGAACGGATGGCCACCCCACCCTGAAGCTTGGCAGGGACCAACAACAAGACTGCCCATGAAGGGTCAGGGGCCCCAGATAGATACCGGATGGCCAGGCCAGGCAGCTGGGAAATCTGGGTGTCAGCAAGAGGCTTGTGTCCTTTCCCTGCACATCTGCAGGGCCATTGTCCAGGCTCTCCTAGCTCCTGTTTCCTTTCTATACGTGAAGGGGGAGGCAGAGTGAAAGCAAGATAGAAGGGGGCAGGGAAGAGACTGCATGATGTTTTTCATAGTAGAACAAGGAGAGGGTTCATTTCTTTAGAGAAAATTTAAAATGGAAAGAGGAAGAGAGAAGGGAACTGATTTGGCTCTTCTGTGAGAGTAAGCTATTTTCTACATCCACTGATTGAAGGTATAAATAAAGATGGGTCAGACATTGTGAAGAACTTCCTAGGGGAGGACAGAAGAGAAGCAAGGTTGGGCAGCAGAGCTGTTGACCAGGAAGCCAGAGCCTCTCCCTGCCTGCCCCACTCTCAGGACTGCAAGGCCTCCTGGGGCCAAAGGATGAGCTGTATGGCCTGGGGGCAGTGAGCTGAATAAGAAGACCTGGAGACAGCCTGGCCAGTGCCTGGAATCTGGAATTCTGTGATTCACAAAGATATGGCTGCAGATGGAGACACTCTAAGTGGCTAGAGGCAGAGTTTAGAAAGCACAAATTGCACTGGGAAGGGGCAGAAAGGAAGGGAATGTGGGAGGAAAATTTCTCTGGTCTCAGAACAGATTTCATGGTCTACACAACCCTCTCCGGCATTCTTTCTCAACCAAGACAATTAAGTCACCAAGAGGTCCTGGCGTCCTCTCCGCTCTCAGCCAGCTGCTGCTAGAATATCAGTGGCCACTGCAGGTCTTGCTGCTTGTCCACTGGAGCTGTGGCTTGGCCAGCATCCTTTAAGAAGCAGAAAGAAAAGCACCAGCATCCAGCATTGCAAGTCTTAGACATTCTAGCATAGCCTGGAAGCACCTAATTGAAGGGAGGCTGGGTGTGGAGGTGGGAGTGGCATGAATCAAACCTGGAGTGTAAGGAGAGCCAGAGCTCATGCCAAAGAGAGTCTGGGCTCAGACCAAAAGAATGAAGTATCAGAAATAGAGGATAGGGAGGGGGCCAAGGCAGTGGGAGGGGCAGGTTCTCTGAGACACATCTGAGTGAAGCATTCGCTGGCCACCTTATCACCCGGCCCCTCACTCTTCACCCGGCTCACCCTGCAGCTGTGGCCATGAAGGCCTCTGTGTTCTCCCACACCTGCCCTCCTCACCTCCTCCCCCACTCCCTGCTTCCCAGCTTCAGGGTCAGTCAAAGGGATAAGGCCCCTCTCCTGTTGTTGGCTTGGCTCCTACCCAGTGGTCCCTTCTGAACAAAGAAACCCCCACAGACACAAGACCCTGAAAGATGAATCCTCTCAATCAGCGCCCCCACAAACCCATCTCCAGCATCTACGCTCTCCTGGGCTTTGAGACCCTAGAGAGAAAGGCCCTGCTTCCCAGAACTAGGAACAAGACAGCTCAGAAGAGGTGTTTGTCAGTAACTGGCATAGCTGCCCAGTGCATAGGATACCATGGCACACAGGGAAGGCAATGGAGGGAGGACAGGGAGACAGCTTCACAGAGGAAGTCGTATTTTAATTGTAAGCACACATGAAGAGGGAAGAGAGGGACCCTATCACCACAAATTGAGAAAGAGTCTAGCAAAGAAAGGTGTGTTTGGGGAACAAAAGAGAGATTCTGAAGTTTTGCTTGGGATTCTACATTTTAATTTAAATAACTCTCCTCTCTCATTCCTTGGGATCCTGGCAAGTAGAAAACAGAAGGGAGAAGAGTATCTCCTCATGTCAGTCATTTTGAAGTTATTTCCACCTAATCCTCCCAGCCCACCTGCCCAGTAGGGAGATGGTTATCCCTACTTCACAGCCAAGACCTTTGAGGCAGGGCTTTGCCCATGATCACAGAATTAGTGGCTGAGATTAGATCTCAGGTTCCTGTATGTCAAAGTTCCTACTTCATTATGCTAAGCCAAGATTAAATTAAAGGATGCATCTTTCCCAAGACCTAGGTCGCCTGGATCTCTTCCCTCACTGACACCTATGAGAAATGTCTCTCCCACTTCACCAGAGAGGAACAGTGGCCAGTAGCTCGCAGCGCAGCCATCTACTCTATTTCTCTAAAAAAAGAGGGATCTGCCTGCCCTAACCCTCCTTCCAAATCCGGTGGTTAGGAGAGGACTAGAGAGGACTGGAGGGTAGGAATCCAGCCAATGACTGGTGATATGCAAATAGGAAATTCTCTGCCTTTTTAGGATTGGCCAATCTAGCAAGCATTATTGTCCCAATCCCGCCTCTCCAAACACTGAGCTATTCCTGGCCAGTGTTTGCACTCTGGGACTGAGAACGGGGAAAATTCTTTGGGATTTGGATCTCTGAACTGTCCCGGCCGGCCCTGCACTCACCTTCCCTAATCCCTGCCCCCTTTCAGGGTTCAAAGCTCTGGGAACCTACTCGTCTTAGGTCTGCTTTAGATAAGGTCAAATCCAGAGGCCGAGTCTGGGAAGGCATCTGTTCCCATCCCTTGGATGGCCGGGCCCTTTCCCTTCCCCCAGGACCCTTCCGGGGTCCCGTGTATCCTGGGATGCTCGAGTTTTCATCCATGACGCCCTTGCCCTTCTTTTTCTTCTTTGCTAGGGAAAGAGAAGCTAGAGAAACTCAGGGTCCTGACTCAGTTTCCCCTCTCTTGATATTACTTTCCACGCTAGAAGGTCCCGGAGAGAAGGTTGGTGGGCAAAGTGGGTCAGAGAAGGCGCAGGTGTCTGACCCTCTCCGCCTCATGGTTCTTACCGTGTTCCTATCTTTTCCCCAATTCCAGTCCCCCTCCCTAATTCCAGGGCCCTCTTCACTCTGCGACTCTCTGATTGCAGATTTTCTGGAGTAGTTCTTTCCTACCTACCCGCCAATTCCTTGGAGATCTGAATGGAACACACGACTTAGGGGGAGGGGAGGACATGAGAGGCGGAAACACAATAGAATGTGCCAGGGTTTGGAAACGTCAAAGTGGCACTGGAAAAGCTCTCTCTGCGGGCGGGGGGGATGGGGGGCCAGGAGGAGAATCTCTGTCCAAGGGCCCGAGCCGCTGCCCGGAACTGGGATTCGAGACAGGTAGAGTCTCGAGGCAGCTGGAGTGCGGTGCGAAGCCCCCTGCCCGGGCCGGGGTCCCCACCCTCCAGCATTGGGGCCGCTCTGGAACACCCCACGCACTCACCACCACAGTCCGCCGACGTGCGCTGGACACAGGAGCAGCAGCAACAGCAGCCCGAGGCGGGAGGGCACCGGCGGCAGCATCGCGCCCGCTCCACGGCCGGGCAGGGGCGAGGCTGTGGGGTGACTCGGACGGCGTGGCGCCCGGGGATTCAGGGCTCGCGCGGCGATCGAGGCTGCGGCCGGGAGGCGACAACTCCGGCGGCGGTGGGGGGGCCCATCCCGGTCGAGGAGGGCGCGGCGGAGGCGGAGAGCGGACGGGGCAGCCAGCGCCTGTGTCTCCCGCCGAGCTCGCTCGGGAGAAGAAATCAGAGCCGGGGGCGGGGGTGGGAGGAGAGCGGGGCTGGGGCGTAGGCGGGGGCCAGGGGGGCCGTCGGGGTGGCAGTTGCGACAGTCAGGCGGCGGGACTCTCGGGAGGGAGCCGTGCGCCCTGGGGCGGCGAGCGCGGAGCTCAGCGGAAGGCGGGCGCGGGGCTCGGGGCTTGGGGTGCGGGGCGGGCCCAAGGCGCTCTAGGCTGCGGGACCCGCCGGCCGCGCCCCTCACCTCACCCCTCTGCGCTAGCCCCCGCTCTCCCGAGCCCTCAGGAGTGGGGGACGGGGAGGGAGTAGTGAAGGGTAAGGTGCGGAGGGAGGAAGAAGAGCTGATGAGGGGCTGGAAAGGAGACGTTTGACAGGTTTGTTGACTGTAAAGAGAGAAAACTTCCCAGGAATGAGGGAGTTGGGGGTGGGGGGGTTCGGAGGGAGACGCAATGGGGCCAGAAGAGGAAGTCGACCTAGGGCGCGGGGTGCTTGTGAGAGATGTCGAGCTGGACCGCGGACCCCGGAGAGTCACCCTTCTGGTGCAGCCCCCGCGACTCACTCATGCCCCTTTCTCAGCCTCTCCCGGAGCAAGGGAGGCAGCGCCAGGCCTCCGCTTCTCTCCCCTACAGCCCTCCAGTTCCAGAGTAGGGGGAGATGGCCGACAGCGACAGCGGCAGCAGAGCCTCTCGGGGCCTGTACTCCAGCGTGCGTGTAAACCAGCGGGAGGGTGGAGGTTGCGGACTTCCGAGGCCTGAGGGGTCAGAACTCTCTAGTGGCAGCCTCGCCTAGCCTTGCGCGTCCGAGGGTCCCTACCTCCAGTTCTTCCCCCAACTTGGCCCTGGCAGAAAGGGTGGGAGAGCCAGCTGCAGGTGAGGTGGGGTTTATCTGATTCTCTAATGCCACAAAAATGTCTTTGATGCCCCTGGCCCCCTCCCCACAACGGGGAGATCAAAGGCTCCGTGGGGAGGAGGGACAGCTCCATTCATCAAGCCAAGCGGCTGGCAGCGGGCCTCAGCCCCAGCCCCTCCGACCTGTGGCAGATCCCCCTACCATGTGCCCCAGGAGTGCCGAGGGACAGGTGGTAAAGATACGCCGGAGCAAGGGCGCGTTTCCCTACCTTCCCCACTGTCTACAGGGGGCCATCAGCCTTTAAAAGTGTCCTCAAAGGGAGCGTAGATGAGGACCTCAAACCCACGTGGCAGAAACTTTAGGCTCCAGAAGAAACATTTCTGGTCGTTTGGGATGGAGAGGAATCTAGAACTGGAGACAGGAATAAACCTCCCTAGTGAGCAGAGAGAAGACAAGAGTCTGAGCCCCCAAAGACCACAGATGACTACCCTGGAAGGGGAAGCAGATCTGGAAAAGGAAGATTTTTAAGAGAAGAAATAAGAAAGATTGACCTAGACACAGGAGGGTGCTTCTGGATTTTCCGGGAGCCTCACCCCATTGCGGATTGTCCAGGCTCAGTCCACTACCTGGTACTGAGTAGAGAGCAGAAGGGGTTGGAGCACTCTAGAGAAGGGAAGGGGCGTGCTGACGGAGAGAGCAACCCAGGCACAGCCTCCAACATAGCAGTGCCTGTGCAGCCCCTGCACCAAGTCATTTTCTGAAATCATCTGCTCAAGGCAATGCTGGCCATGGGCTCTGCACAGTCAAAGACATACACAGCTTGTGCACGTACTGAGGCCAGAGACAGAGGCAAACAGTCAGTGGAGAGGGCTTTTAGGATCCCCAGGGATTGCAGGTGGCCAGTGACTGTCCCTCTGGAATCCTCAGGCTAGGTTCGAACCCTCTGTCCACTCCTGCCCCCACCCTGCTACTGTTATTGCAGATTATGAAATGCTCTCCTGATCCTGCATTCTTCTCCAAGGCAAGAATTTTAATGTATTTGTCTTTGTCATCAGGGGACCTGGGCTCTGGGACCGCCCTGCCTCTGCCTGAGGAAGGAGCGCCCCAAACCTGGTCACTGCTGACTCCAGACCCCAGGCTTTCTTCATTCCCCTCCCCCGTGCCCTAGCCCTGCCCCTTGCCTTGCCCTCCTAAGACATAGTCTCTCTGTGGGGTGGATAAAAATGATGTTATTGAAACAACAGAATTGGGAGCAGTGGCAGGGAGCAGGGATCAGCTCAGGAAACTGGGGCTTTTGCCAAGAAGCCTTCTCCCCCGCAGGCGGCCTTCTGCCCCCACCCCCCACCTTTCCAACAAACACACAGCTTGCCCCACCCCTCCTGCAGTGCTTGCTCTGGCCCATCTTGAAGAACCTTTAGGCATCCCAAGACTCCCCAAGCCCCGGTCCTCTCTCCACAGAGCCATTCCAGAACCAAGTGGCACAGGAGTGGCTGTAGAAGCCTCTAGACAGGAGCAGGATGGCCTGGAGTCTGTGATGGACTGGCCTCCTGAGGCCCCAATTCTCAGGGCTTGAAAGGCCACTTTGCCTCTGCCTCTACTCCTTTGCTCCCTCTGCACCCCCATCTAGGGTTTGGCTGGCCTCTGTCCCGAGCCAGAACAAAAATCTCCTGTCCTTGTGGCCCTCAGATCTGGGCTGAGATGTTTCTGAGGCTTCCACCTACCACTGTCACCTTGGTAGACTTTCCAAGGAACAGGGCTGGTGGCCAGGAGAAACAAATGAAGGAATAGAAAGCACAGCCACACATAGTGGCAGCTGGGCACAGGCAAGCGTGTGAGCCCTCGGATAGCACATCTCTGCCTCCTAGAAATAGCAGGCCTGTTGATACCTACCCCCCACCCCCCTGCAACTCTGCACAGATGGGCATGCAGGGAAATGTTCATCAGAGACTAGGTGGGAAGACAGCAGTCCAGAGGTGGGCAGGATGTTCCAGCTAGAGCCCCCTCCGCACTGGGCACCTCTGCCTCTTACTCCATCTCTCACCCCTAAGTGCCAATGGCCCATAAACTCCTCTTCCAGGCCCTGGTGCAGAAGAGACAGGGAAGGAGAGGCTCGGGCATCTGGTTTTGGGGTTGAAGAGGAAGGAGGGGCAGAGGTGGGGACAGCAGAGAAGAGAAAGGCAGCTGGAGACAGATAACATCAGAATAGCTGCGGGCAAAAGCAGAGCCCTCTGTCTCTGTCGGATTCTCTCCCTGCCTTTCTCTGTGTCTTTTTAGTCTCTTCCAAGTCCAGGATTTGGTCTCTACTTAGATTAGGTCTGTCTCTAAATCACTTTCTCTGGTTTTTTTTTTTTTGGTTTTTTTTTTTGTGTGTGTGTTTCTTTTTTGTTTTGTTTTGTTTTTGTTTCTCTGAGTGACTGAAGCTGCAGGATCCCAGGAATCTGGGGCTGTGACCCTTCCCCTCCCAATAACCTCTCTCCCTCTCCCTCCCTCTTTTGCTCCCCAGCAGTGAGATCCGACTCTCATTTTCTGGGAGGTAACAGTGCTGAGAATTCCTAAGAGCCATAAGTTCTAGGAGAACAGAGAGGAAGGACCAGCCCCCTATGGAGATGGAGGGAGGGGAAAAGAGAGAAGAGAGACTTGTTTCCTTTCCCTTCTGTATCAGGACAGCACTGCTGCAGCTGCCCAGTCCACCTCCAGTCCCGAGGGGGTACCCAGCCAGGCCTCACCCTTGGCCAGTCCTACCCTGCCTCAAAGCCCAAGTTCCCTTCAAGACTCCCTCTGGGCCTTTGTCCAAGGGGACCCCTCACCCTGTTCCCACAGGCACCCCCCCCCCAAGCCTCACATTTTCCACATCTCTCAGGTCTCTCAACTCTATGCATGCCTCCAACTCTGTAATCACTCCCTTAGTGCAGAGGGAAAGGAGACTCTAGGCATGGTGGCCCATGCTTACAATCCCAGCCCTGTGGGAGCCTGAAGCAGGAGGATCACATGTAGAGCTCAGCCTGGGCAGTTTAGCAAGATCCTGTCTCAAAACAGAAAAGAGGCCTGGGGAGGTAGCTGAGTGTGGAGGCCTTGAGT